TCAGGTCCCTTCCAACCCTAGAAACTATGAAACTATCTGGGTCTGGCAGGCACTGTTGCAGGTCACAGCAGGTCATATCCAGGCAGCTGCCCCCACTGCCAGACTGCTGAAGTGGGTAGAGGGTTCAGGGAACTCTCGATTAGGGCTGCTTCAGCAGTCTAGCTGGCACAAGGGGCTAGTGTCCCCAGATACCAATTGGCCAGGCCCCAGAAGCTCCTGGAAGCAAGTAGCCCAGAGCTGCTTGCCAGGGCAGCTTTTTATACTGGCTCTAACTCCCCCTGGCTGCAGATCCAGGAGGAGCTGGGCAGGGTTATTTTGCCCCAAGTGGCACAACTTGCCCCACACCAAAGTGCATGTCTAGGTATGTGCGCTGAGGCAAAAATCCCCGGCTCAAGTTTGTGCCGCTCCTATTTGAGCTGCTGCAAACGCATGTGCCTGCATGTTTGGACATGCCCTTACATGGTATATGAGATGGTTAAAGTATTTGAAATATCATCTGCATGTGCAAAATTTCATGTGAGCAAACAAAGGGTAGATTAAGGCCCACTGAAAAATGCAACCCTGAGTTTCCTCAAATAGAATATCTATTTTAGTGATCAAGCTAAAGTATATAAAAAAATCTCATTCCTTAAGACTACTCTTGTTCTTCATCATTAGCTGCAATGTGCATTATAGCCTTAAGTCATCTACGCATTGAGCCTCAGAGGATATGTCTACACATGCATTAATGCTCCATAGTTACTGCACATTAAATTTAGTACCCGTAATAACAGGTACTGACTAAATGCACAGTAACTGGAGCTACTATGCAGTAGCGCTGGTGCATGTCTTTTTAGTGACACTAATGCACAGTAGACTAATTTTACCATGCATTAGCACAATAGCACAACTTCTGCTGTGCCATGCTAATGTGCAGTAGAATTAGTCTACTGTGCATTTAGTGTCTTATGCAGACACACCCAGAGAGCACTAAATCAGTGACCTAATTACAGAGGTCCTTTTCTAAAGGAAGTTAAGATCCTGTGAAGCTGTTCTATGCATGTATGACATCCTTAAGTTTTAGCACTGCATTATTGTCATTATTATTTCCCTTTATGATACTGCAGGGACATTTTGACGTAAGCTTTTATGTAGCGGCACTAAAATGTTTGTACTTGCTGCACTGCCCTGGCCTGTTATTCAGATTTTCAGTTGTCCCTCTGATGTGGTTCTCTTTTTGCAAAAGCAAAAAGTCCATTTAGGGAGAAAAGGGAAAAGTTTAGCTTAGATGGCCTTGAATTCTTATTGCAAATGAAGTCTGACCCATTTTTATTTAAAGCAAAACCAAATAAACCCACAAAAGGGAAGAGAAAAGAACAGCAGGATACAAAATACAGTTTTTGGTTCTGATGTTAACTCTCGTAAACCTTGCTGCTGAAGAACCACTGACCTAGAACCTGCTCAGCCAGTCCAAGACCTGGCAAAGTTTAACCAGCTTCAGTTTTTTTAAGGTGTTTTAAAACTGTCTTGCTAGTCATAGGTTCACAGCAGCATAGCAAAAGGTGGAGCAGTTTGGGCTGGCTGAGCCAGAGTTTTACTATATAGGACACAAAAAGAAAGAAAGAAGAAAAATAAGGGAGGGTGGCAGAAAGTGACAAGTCCTAAGGGAAAAATATATGAAGAGACCTCTTGTTAAGTCTTTACTTATTTGTTTGGCTGGTAAGTCTGAAAACTGAAGGTAGGTTTGCACTGTGCTCATAGTTACCACATTCCCCCCAGACACATAGGCCTCTCCTACTTGTCTTTATTCTAACAGCCAGCTAAATATTATCTGTGATGTTTCTATTCTGGATCTGGCAGTCCCACCACAGAGCCACAGATTTGTCTCACCTCTGCTTATGCATACAAGCCACTGTCATTCTAGGGAGAGAATCTCTGTACATAAAACCCACTGATATGCTAACATCTGAAACTGTAACTATACATGTATCACAGCAAGCAAAGCTTACAGATAACTTCAATTTTGTCTCTGTAGTGACAAACTAAACCCATTCCTCACCTGTCTTCCAGATTTCTATTCCTTGTCTTGATTCTTATGCCAAAGGGTGAAAGGGGAATCTGTTCATCACTTTGTTCTCCTCCTTTTTCTTCAATGGCAGGCAAGGCTTCAAGGCAAGACTCTTCCTCTAGTAGATCTTTATCTATATGTCAGGAGAGGTATCAATATAAAGAAAGACTTAATTTTTGTCTTCATTGTTTTCTACATAGTCTACGATATTTTATATATATATTTTGAAAGTGCTTCAGGGAAAAAAGTTAAAATTACCTAAATGGAAAATAAGATATACTTAAATATATCTGCTAAGTCTAATGACCAAAAAGAGGAAAACATTAAAAGGATTTAATGGAGGTTCCTTGGGCCCCTGCTAGACATGCAGGTACAGGTGTGATGGAATCTGAGGCATGCTCGTCACAATCATGCTTCCTGCCATGCCATACGTGCATGGAAGAAGGTGTAATTGGGGATCATATGATAGATCCCATCACATTTTATTGCTGGTGCAGGGGGAGCCTGGGATCATGATTACAGGCTCCCCCTGCACCAGCAAGTAGCAAACTCCTGCAGTTAGGAGCCCTGTCAGGTGATCCAGGAACCCAGCCACAGGGGTGCACCATGAGGTCCCATGGCTGGGAGCCAATAAGCTGAACCGGGCTCTCATGCCTTGTGCGCCCCCACAAATGGAAGCATCATCAGTTGTGCACCCCCAACCCCAGGGGAGCATGGTATAACCCCAGGGCTGGGAGCCCCATCAGCTCCCTAGGCCTGCCTGTGCGGCCTAGGATTGTGCTGACTCCAGAGCCAAAGAGTTTGGAGCCCAAGCTTGGGTGCATGCTCAGACTCCCAGCTGGACCCCTACATCCAGGACTGTTTTCACACCAGACGATAAAACTGACCTCTTTAACAAATTCTTCGCCTCCATTTTTCTGATCAGGGACATCCCCCCCACCGGGATTCCAGACAGACCCAGGAGAGGCGCAGCCAGGCCCAGGGTCGCAGAGGACCTAGTTAGGGAACTTCTGGTGGGACTGGATGTGTTCAAATCAGCAGGTCCAGATGATCTCCACCCCAGGGTGCTGAGGGAATTGGCAGAGGTCATTGCGGGACCCCTGGCACAGCTCTACAAGCACTCATGGTGCTCTGGCGAGGTGCCAGAGGACTGGCCAATGTGGTCCTCATTTATAAAAAAGGGAGGAAGGAGGACCCAGGAAACTATAGGCCTGTTAGTCGTACCTTGGTTCTGGGGAAGCTCTTCCAGAAAATTATCCAGGAGCACATCTGTGAGGGACGAGCAGAGAAGATTATGCTTAGGGGCAACCAACATGGGTTCATTAGAGGCAGGTCCTGTCAGACAAACCTGGTTGCCTTCTATGAGCAGGTCACAAAATCCATGGATGCAGGTGTTGCAGTGGATGTAGTCTTTCTGGACTTTAGGAAGGCCTTCGACACTGTCTCTCACCCCATTCTCATTAAAAAATTAGGTGACTGTGGTGTTGATGCCTACACAGTCAGATGGGTCACAAATTGGCTGGAGGGCCACTCACAGAGTGGTGGACGGGTCATTTTTGACCTGGAGGGATGTGGGCAGTGGAGTACCCCAGGGCTCGATTCTCAGGCCCACACTGTTCAATATCTTCATCAGTGACTTGGACAAGGGGGTGAAAAGCACCCTGTTCCAATTCACAGATGACACTAAGATGTGGGGAGAAGTGGGCATGCTAGAAGGGAAGGACAGGCTAGAACTAGATCTGGACAGGTTACAAAGGTG